GGACCGAGTTCCCCACTGTGAGGAGCAACCAGCACACTAGGGCCGAGCTGCTGCAGTGTGAACCCCAGGCTAGAATGGCCTGTTGTAGCCTGGTGGCTCTGACACGCGCCTTTAATCCCAGCCCTCGGGAGGCAGAGCAGGCGGATCTCTGTGAGTTCGAAGCCAGCTTGGTCTACAGAGTGAGATCCAGGACAGGCTCCAAAACTACACAGAGAAACCCTGTCTAGAACCACCCCCCTCTCAAAAAAATGACCTGTTGTGCCGGGCATGGCGGCACCCACCTTTAGTCCCAGAGCTGAGGAGGCAGAGGCAGGTGGATCTCTGTGAGTTCCAGCCAGCCTGGGCTACAGAGTGAGACCCTGTCTCAAACACACATACGCTCACCTGTCACTGGGTGGGCAGAGCATCCATGTCCCTCAATTTTTCTGACTTAAGTAAGGATCCAGCCAGCCATTTTCTGTCACCCCAGGAAAAACTCAGGCTGGTACCAGACCCTTTGACAACTCAATACACTTATGTGTTGTTGTTATTACTATGCGTGAGGTAAACTGAGGCAGATGGATCGGCCCTCAGATATAAGTGGCTGGATACAGGGCAGCAAGCTGGGCCTGGCTGTGCATACCTGTCCTCTGAGCACTCGGGAGGTACAGTCAGAGGAATTAAGGGTTTGAGACCAGCCCCGGCTACCTGAGACTCTGTTTTACTTTATTTTTGGCGTTTTAGAGAGAGGGTTTCTCTGTGTAGCCCTGGCTGTCATGGAACTCGCTCTGTAGACCAGGCTGACCTCGAACTCACGGAGATCCCCCTGCCTCTGCCTCCGGAGTGCTGGGACCAAAGGCGTGCGCTGCCACCACTCAGCCCTGAGGTCCTATTTTTTAAGAAAGGACAGAAGGATGGCGTGCTGAGTTTTCACTGGTATGGAGCAGCATGAGAGGCGTTGAAGTGGGGACCCTGGGGGGCACACACCTCTCCATGCCACCCCCATCGTCCCGTCCCCAGGGAGGAAGTGGGGCTGTGGCTGGCATGGGGCAATACAACGGCCTCTGCCGTTATATATGTATATAAGTATGACTGTTATGTAGGGGCGTGGGGAACCACCGGAGCAGAGCCCCACCATGACCCTCCGCCCGTCACCCAGCCCGACTCTGACTCCCCTGCTGCTGGCCGTGCTCCTGGGTGGTGAGTGCAGACGGACACACATCCACCCCACCGACCACCTGTCCATCTCCACTGTCCTCCCCTGCTTCCGCCAGGACCTTAGAAAAAGACACAGAGGTTTCTGGCGGCGAGGCCACTACCAGGAAACGGGGATTCCGAGCCGGAGGAGGCACTTGGGTCTCATGTCCAGGAGCACCCTGGGCGGGCCCCTTGTCCTCTCAGCCTCAGTTTCCCTCACTAACCTTGTGAGTTCTCACTGAGGATTCGAACAGCTTGGTGGCTGGGGCTCACTCTTCCTCCCCGTGTGTCCCTAGGCCCAGTGCTGGCCTCCGAGATTGTGGGTGGCCGGCCAGCCCAGGCCCACGCTTGGCCCTTCATGGTGTCCCTGCAACGGCGTGGAGGTCACTTCTGTGGTGCCTCGCTCATCGCCAGGAACTTCGTCATGTCCGCAGCCCACTGCGTGAACGGCCTGTGAGTCCCCTCCCTGTCCTTCCCCTCGCAGCCCTGAGCGTCCACGTGGGCCAGAGTGGGCGGCCGGGTGGGGACTCCCACCCATGGCCCTCGCCTCTCGGCTGTCCGTAGGAACTTCCAGTCCGTGGAGGTGGTGCTGGGGGCCCACAACCTGCAGCGACGGGAGCCCACAAGACAGACCTTCTCTGTGCAGCGGATCTTCGAGAACGGCTTCGACCCCACGCGTCTGTTGAACGACATCGTGATCCTCCAGGTGGGCTCGGGAGTCCGGGAGCCGTGAGGTCCGGGCTGGAGGAAGATGCCGTGCAGAAGGGTCTGGGGGTGGGGGAGACAGGGACACCCTGGGGCGGCTGCGGTTATCACCCGATCCCGTTTCCAGCTCGGCACAGTGGAGAACAGCCGTCCTGTGGGCCCCATGGCGAGGGCTGTGAGCTAATGTACAGACCGACCGCTCCGGGCAGTATTCAGTCAACAAACTCCTCTTGTCTGTGCTCTCCCCACACTGACCCTGCCCCTCTGCGGAACCCGAGGAAATACTCATTTCTTCCTCCGGGTCCTCAGCTTTCCCACCGCTTGGTGGCAGGGTATTCAGGACGTGGTGACGGTCCTTGTGGAACGCGCCCTGTGACTCCTTCGTGTTCTAAGTCTCCCCCTCACCCGCCACCCCTCCCCGCAGCTCAATGGCTCAGCCACCATTAACACCAACGTGCAGGTGGCCCAGCTGCCTGCCCAGGGCCGTGGTGTGGGTAATGGAACTTCATGCCTGGCCATGGGCTGGGGCAGGCTGGGCACGAACCAACGGTCACCGAATGTGCTCCAAGAGCTCAATGTGACCGTGGTGACGAACTTCTGCCGCCGCCGTGTGAATGTGTGCACGCTGGTGCCCAGGCGGAGAGCGGGCATCTGCTTCGTAAGTACCCGTTTGCAGCAGAGGTGGTCAGACCGAGGGAGGACTTCCCAGTGCTGGAACACGGGCAAGGGGGAGCCTAGAGGTCCCGTCTCTGACCTTGACACCTTCACAGGGGGACTCTGGAGGACCCTTGGTCTGTAACGGGCTTGTCCAAGGCATCGACTCCTTCATCCGCGGAGGCTGCGGGTCTGGACTGTACCCAGACGCCTTCGCGCCTGTGGCTGAGTTCGCAGACTGGATCAATTCCATTATCCGCAGGCAAGACGACCGCCCCCATACCCACCCAGAGACCCTGACAGCAGGACTGTCTAGGACCCGCCTGCCCCCCTGAGGCCTCCAGCCTAAGCTGCTTGTGGCAGCCCCCAATAAAAGCAACATTTCCTTCGTACACTGGGTCTAGTGTTTGTGAACTGTGCCAAGGATGTAGAATGCTACCACTGCCTTGTGTGAGGGGCACCTGTGGACTTGGTCACTGCCGAGTGGGGGGCAAAGTCACAGCAGGAGACAATGCTCCCCACTTTGTACAAAGGGACGTCACTGAGATGGCCCTTTTTGGTTTCTGTTCCCCAAAACCCACGTTCAGCTGGGTTTCAGCCCTCAGGAGACTGAGGCAGCGGGATTGCCATGAGTTGACGACAGCCTGGCCTAAGAGCAAGCGTCTGCTGCTCCTGTAGGGGACCTGGGTTCCCACATGGCGGCTCACAACTACCTATAGCTCCCATATTCCAGGGGACTCGATGCCCTCCTCTGGACTCTGGGCACCAGGCATGCACATGAAACCCCCCCCCCATGCACATAATTAAGAATAATTTGCAGGAGTCCTTCCCATGCTCTGTATCTTATAATCTGTCTGATTTTAAGATTGAGTACTCTGCTGGGCGGTGGTGGCGCACACCTTTAATCCCAGCACTGGGGAGGCAGAGCCAGGCGGATCTCTGTAAGTTCGAGGCCAGCCTGGTCTACAGAGTGAGTTCCAGGACAGCCGGGGCTGCACAGAGAAACCCTGTCTTTAAATCGAATGAACTAACAGCTCAAGGCTCATGAGGCGGCACCATGGGGAAGGTGCTTGCCCCGAAGCCTGAGGAGCTGAGTTCAATCCCTGGAACCGCACAGTGGAAGGACAAGGAGGAGACGCGGGAATGTTCCCCAGAGAGCCACCACATAGGACACAGACACAAGGAAATAAATAAAGCATGCAGATAAATGTAATAAAACCAGAAATGGTCCACTTTCCCGTTGGATTGGAGCAGCAGACGCCATAGCTCTGTCCCAGACGGCCCCTACATGGCCTCCTCTATCTCAGCCACCCCCCCCTCTCCCTATCCACCCTCCTCCAGCC